TATATTTCTAACACACACACACACACACACGGGGAGGGAGCACGTGATCCTGTGGTCCCGGGTTCGATCCCGGGCGCCGGCCAGAAACAATGGGTAGAGTTTCTTTCACCCAATGCCCCTGTTACCTAGCAGTAAAATAGGTACCTGGGAGTTAGTCAGCTGTCACGAGCTGCTTCCTGGGGTGTGTTTGTGTGTGAGATGTGAAAAAAAGTAGTAGTAGTAGTTAGAAATAGTTGATTGACAGTTGAGAGGCAGGCCGAAAGAGCAGAGCTCAACCCCCGCAAGCACAACTAGGTGAATACACACACACACACACACACACACACACACACACACACACACACACACACACACACACACACACACACACACACCACCTCTCTGGACTAAAAAGAGCTCAACCCCCGCAAGCACAATTAGGTGAGTGCACACGCATGCACGCACGTGCGCGCACACACACACTGTTGAGAGGCAGGACCAAAGAGCCGAAGCTCAACCCCCGCAAGCACAACTAGGCGAGTATACACATCCTCAGGATGCAATATTTACTCACCCCAAGGAGGAGGGGAGGGGGGGGGCAGTTGCAGGAACATTCCTACAACATTTGGGGAGGGGGGGGGGGAAGGGGAGGGGGGGGGGAAGGGGAGGGGCAACCCAAGATTGTTGCCATCGTAGGTCCTGATCCCACTACTAACACCATGTTCTTCCCACCCACCATAACTACCATGTTTTGTCTCACCCACCATAACTACCATGTTTTGTCTCACCCACCATACTACCATGTTTTGTCTCACCCATCATAACTACCATGTTTTGTCTCACCCACCATAACTACCATGTTTTGTCTCACCCACCATACTACCATGTTTTGTCTCACCCATCATAACTACCATGTTTTGTCTCACCCACCATAACTACCATGTTTTGTCTCACCCACCATAACTACCATGTTTTGTCTCACCCACCATACTACCATGTTTTGTCTCACCCATCATAACTACCATGTTTTGTCTCACCCACCATAACTACCATGTTTTGTCTCACCCACCATAACTACCATGTTTTGTCTCACCCACCATACTACCATGTTTTGTCTCACCCATCATAACTACCATGTTTTGTCTCACCCACCATAACTACCATGTTCTTCCCACCCACCATAACTACCATGTTTTGTCCCACCCACCAGAACTACCATGTTTTGTCTCACCCATCATAACTACCATGTTTTGTCTCACCCACCATACTACCATGTTTTGTCTCACCCATCATAACTACCATGTTTTGTCTCACCCACCATAACTACCATGTTTTGTCTCACCCACCATACTACCATGTTTTGTCTCACCCATCATAACTACCATGTTTTGTCTCACCCACCATAACTACCATGTTCTTCCCACCCACCATAACTACCATGTTTTGTCCCACCCACCAGAACTACCATGTTTTGTCTCACCCACCATAACTACCATGTTTTGTCCCACCCACCATAACTACCATGTTTTGTCTCACCCACCATAACTACCATGTTTTGTCTCACCCACCATAACTACCATGTTTTGTCTCACCCACCATAACTACCATGTTTTGTCTCACCCACCATAACTACCGTTGCTCACAGTGTTCAAGAGAGAACTGGATAAGCACCTCCAAAGGATACCTGATCAACCAGGCTGTGACTCGTACGTCAGGCTGCGAGCAGCCGCGTCCAACAGCCTGGTTGATCAGTCCGGCAACCAGGAGGCCTGGTCGACGACCGGGCCGCGGGGACGCTAAGCCCCGGAAGCACCTCAAGGTAACCTCAAGGTAAGGCACCCCCCCCCCCCCCCTCCACACACACACGGTAACCACCATAATATTTCGTACACACCGCCGCCAGAGTACCTTACTGATTAAGAAGTGATACTCCACCAATTTGCTGTATTAAACAATCTTATCTAATAGTCAGGTTTAAATTTTGTCACTTCGCCTCTGTATCTGAACACCATGACAATTTTCCTGACATCTTTAATAACAAACGGCCACAAAGCATATACAATACGACATTTGTCAGTAGATAAAATGCTTGTCTCCGTATAAAACATTCCCATGTGACATACTCGTACCTAGTCGAAAATACTGCTTAATGTAATTGTTTAATGCTAAAAATGATTCCTCGGTATAAATACACGTTAACATTTCATCACGTGAACCCCCCAAAAATTGACTGCCAATTTTTGCATAACTACGGAAAAATTATATCCAAAATATACAACCCATCCTCCTGAAATGACTACTTACAGTAACTCTTTGGTCGAAAGTACCAATGCGTAGTGTTGGTACTTTCAAAAAGTACCAACTTTTTGAAATTGTTGGTAGATGGTTGGTAGACCATCAAAAAGTTCACTTTTTGGTATTTTTGTACAAAAGTACTTTCGTTTTTCCCTATTGTAGTCCGAAAAAAACTTAAAACATTCCTAGGCCTAGTATAGCACATATATCTACTATATTAGGCCTAAGATAGGGTGTATTAGGCCTAAGATAGGGTGTATTAGGCCTAAGATAGCGTGTATTAGGCCTAAGATAGCGTGTATTAGGCCTAAGATAGCGTGTATTAGGCCTAAGATAGCGTGTATTAGGCCTAAGATTGCTAGGAGAGGTTAGGTTACAACTTTTATTTATGTTGCAGTTCTCTTTCCCATTTGTCCTAATTCAATAATACAAAGCGAGGCATTTTTGGTGGTCCATCACTACGTACTACGTTCCACCAAATAATTACTGTAAGTGCTGTCATTTTAGGAGGATGGACTGATATATATAGTGTTGTACATCGGAGTTGGTCGCCAACTTTACGGCTGGCATTCTCAGGCATAAACGTACCGAGGTTTGGTCAGGATATGGCGCCAAAGATCTGGCTACACTGACCAGCTCAGTCTATGGGGATCTGGTCATGACGTCGCGCACATACGTTTTTTGATTGGTTGGTGATGTCATGACGTCACGCAGACGTTCTCTGAATGGGTGGAGACGTCAGGACTTCAGGCGCACACGTTCTAATTAGTTGACGTCATAACGTCACGCGCACACGGTCTCCCATTTTTGGTGACGTCATAATGACGGGCACAAAATAGTTCTCTACAATAATCCTCGATGAAAAACATTTAAATTACTAACTGAAAATAGAAGTGAATAGCCTATCTCTGGCCCATTTTGTGATCCTGATTACGACTCATCAAACCATTTACTAAACCTATTCATCGTTCCTCGCTTATGGCGGTTTTCTTTACACATATTAAACAATTTATGGGCTTTGAAACCTCACAACCAAAAGTTATTAGTTATAAATAACCTTAAAGTGCTTCGGAGCTCATAAACTGTTTAATAAATGAAAACACAGCCACCGTGGTTGTTAAAAGATATACAGGTTTCGTAAGTACTTGATGACTCACCAGTACCAGGTGTGTAATATATCAGATATAGGTCTTGGCGCCGCCTGGCGAGTACAGTATATCTGGACCATATACTCCACCAGTTATCATGCTATCTCATGCCTATCTTGGACACTAGCCACCACTATCTGTCGTTGTTACTGTACACACACGCACGCCCCACCTCCTCCAAGCACGCCCTCAGGTCCTCCAAGCAAATGCAACCACATCCTCAGGTCCTACCACATTCACACAAGCACACAAGAGTCGGGACCAAAGAGCCAAAGCTCAACCCCCGCAAGCACAAATAGGTGAGTACACTCATGTCCCCCTTAAACACACGTAAGCATGCCACAGATACCCCAAGCACACGCAAGAATGCCCTCAGGTCCCCCAAGCACACGCATGTCCTTAGGTCCTACCTCATACATACAAGCACACACTCATGTCCCTCAAGCACATGCAAGCATGGCCTCAGGTACCCAAGCACATACAAGCATGCCCTCATGTACCTCACATGCAAGCATGCACTCAGGTTCCCCAAGCACACACAAGCATGCCTCAGGTCCTACCACACACACACACAAGCTTGCCTCAGGTCCTACCACACACACACAAGCATGCCTCAGGTCCTACCACACACACACAAGCATTCAGGTGCTCCCAAACACACACAGCATTCCTCAGGTCCTCCAAGCACACTCAAGTATGCATTCAGATCCTCCCCTACACCTCCCCCTCGACCCCCAACAACCACCCAACACCTCTTCCCCTCCCCTAGACCCCAACAACCACCCAACACCTCCCAACTCGACCCCCAACAACCATCAGACGTACGTAGTCTCCTCCCCCTCCGGACTACACTCTGAGCTCATGATCGAGAGACCCACCAGGCAGAAGAGAAATAGTACTTAGGCAACTGTTGTGGGTTGCATCCTAGTTAAGGTTAATAGACGGGCTAGAGAATTCGATAAGCCTAAGAACAGGCTTTCTGTCCCCAACAACGGGAATCATAAAGATGGCCCAAAAAGTCACACATGTCTAATTATTTTTTTTATATAGAAATTAGTTGCTCTGGAATAAGCATTGGCCCCAAGCCTCTTTGGCTGTCTCATCCTGTGATATCTCTCATTTTGTGAACCAGTTCTCTTGGTGTTGACAATGAGGTTATCAAGTAGATTATATCACTGGTTAGGTCATGCCATGTGTCAGGATACAACTGCCTTGGTTCACACAGGAGATGGTGCAGTGCTCTTATTGACCCACAATTCAGCAGGTAATGACTGAGTGTGACACTAGCTCTCCACATATGTCAGTTGCTTAATTTAGAAACTGTACTTATGATCGATCTCGAATCCATTGATGATGCGATGACTTATACTGAATTTTGTAACTAGCTCATCAAGAGTGTAACTTGCTTAGCAAAATGAATTGTGGGGTTCAGTCCCTGAGTCCATTATGTGCCTCTTTAACCCTTTCCATTACCGCCCACAAGATGGGTATGGGGGCGCATAATAAATGAACTAAACTAAACTAACTAATGACTGATTGTTCATTGCTGTATTGACATATTTTTCTTTTTACCCTCAGGTCTTCGAAGCACGCCCCTCAGGACCTCTAAAAACGCCCCTCAGGTTTTCCAAGTACAGTATGCTCTTGGGTCCTCCAAGTATGCTCTCGGGTCCTCCAAACATGGCCTCAGGTCCTCCAAGCACACTCTTGGGACCTTAAAACACACACTCAGGTCCTCAGAAGAGGATCACTATGACATAAGAAGATCGCCAAGACCACAAGAGGATCACCAAGACAAAATGAGGATCACCAAGGCAAAAAGAGGATCACCAAGCCAAAAGAGGATCACCAAGACAGAAGAAGAGCATCAAGACAGAAGATCATCAACACAGAAATGGATCACTAAGACAAAGGAGGCTCACTTGGACAAAAGACGATCGTCCAAAACAAGAGAAACACCAAAATATAAGCCACCATTTTGGGATGTTCTGTAATATGCCAGTTCATGGTGGCCAACCCGAAAACACAAACACACCAGAAAAACAATTATATGCTTGTTACAAACAATTAAATGTCCCAACAAACTAGAAGTTGGTATTAATTTTAATAATAATAATTCTAATAATAATAATTCATTTTGTTGGGTCAGGAAGCCTGTATATGTATATATACTTTAGGCTTGTAATGAGGTGCCTCCAAGGTTAAACTACTGACCCTTCCCAGGATGCAACCCCATAACAGTTGCCTGACTCTGAGGTACCTACTTAATGCTAGGTGAACAGATGCATTAGGCAACAGGAAATGTGCCCAACTATTTCTGTTCCGTCCGGGAATCGAACCTGGGACCCTCAATTGTGAGTTGAGAACAAAACAGCTGTGATCTTGTGGTATAGTCCTTGGTATAACTATACCCATACCCAGGTAATGGAAAGTCAAGACCATGTGAGGGGGGGGGGGTATATTGACTTTAATCCCCAGATGATATCACATTTTTAGCGGAGTTAACCAATCCATTATAATGCGACTTATTAGGTAAAGGGGACGCTGTCCACCATATTAACATTTCATTTGTTTTTTATTAAACTTTCAAGAAAATTCAATATTGTAAGGGAGTTCTATGCCATTCTAGATCCACCTGAGGACTCGTATGTGCCATTGTGTACTATACATATACTGTATTTGCTAGTTCTCAATGAAGATGTTTGTATATGGTTTAGTAATCAAGAATGGGCTGTGTCAGTGATTATTTTATGTACACAATAACAATGGTTTGCCAGCCACTAAGGACAACTTCGACCATCAGGAAACAAATGCAGATCTCCCTTCTGGATGGTTAACATTTCATCCCCCAATGGTTAAAATGGCTTAGGACTATTCCTTCACTCTGCCCTCAAAACCCAGCTCCTTGACCTCCTATCCAAGCTCATTGGCCACATTTCCCAGGTCTTTGTCCTCATATTCCAGGTCCTTGGCCTCATATCCAGCTCCATCTGCACATATCCCAGTTCCTTGTCTATATAACCCACCTCACTGTCCTCATATCTCTTTCAGGTGATATATTGGTTATACCAGCTTAGTACTTTTGCCTGATAGGTTAATTAAGCTAATGAATATCTGAAAATATTAATAAAACTAAATAAAACTTTACTGAGAAAATCCACAGGATTCTGATGAGGATCTGAACCCAGCACATAGGTTTGAATTCCCATCATGGCTCCTGTGGATTTTCTCATTGATATACTTATCATGTTACTGTGATTTCTCTGTGTATAATAACTATTAATGACAATAACGCACACAAAGACTTTATTGACATTGACATTACTAGCAAAGACTTTGATTTGAAGGACAACAGCACTCGGCAAGACTTTATTGATAACAGGACTCACACCAACTACTGTATTGACAAATGCACCACTCACAAAAATTTAACTGATGTCACCAGCACTCACAAAGTCTTTACTGATGACAATAGCACGTGGAAAGATTTTATTGATGATGACATCTCACCAAGACTTATTGATGACACAGCACTCACTTAGGCTTTATTAATGAAAATGCACTCATAAATACTTTACTGGTGACAACAGTACTCACAAAAACTTTATTGGTGACAACAGCACTCACAAATACTTTACTGGTGACAACAGCAATCACAAATACTTTACTGGTGACAACAGCACTCACAAATACTTTACTGGTGACAACAGCGCTCACACAAACTTTATTGACAATGATAGCAGTCACAAAAACTTGTCCAGCCTTAATTATCAACTCGGCTGCACTGCCTCAAAAACAAAACACTTAGCACTTGAGTTGTATATTTTATGTTACGATCGTCAGAATAAACAAAACAGACCACGACAGCCTAAAGGTGGAAAGCACAGTGGGTTAGGTAAGGTAGACCATGGGCATGGGTTCAGTGTCTTGAGTGTTCTGTGTGACTGTGTCTGTCGCCGCCTACACGATGGCTGTGGACTGACTACAAGACAGCACCAGACTGTACAAGAGGACACCAAACTGTGCAACACTGCTTCAGACTGTAGAACACTGTGCAAGACTATAATGCTGAACAAGACTGCACAACACTTCACCAAACTACACAACACTGCACAAAATTGACTAACATTAAACCAGACTGTACAACAGGGCACCAGACTGTACAACCTGGCCCAACTTTGTAAACAGCCAGAAGTTAACAACCATAATACAAGGTACTGGTATCCTGGCCAGGGAGGATTTACTTGTCATCAATCCTTAACTGTAGCCTCTGTTTACCCAACAGTAAAATAGGTACCTGGTTGTTAAACGATTTGGCGGGGTCGTATTCCGGGGAACATAGGATTAAGGACTTGCCTGAAACGCTATGCGTGCTAGTGGCTGTACAAGAATGTAAGAACTCTTGTATATATAAATAAATAAAAAATACTGGAGTTCATATTGTGAGTTCTGGAGTCAACTGCAGCATGTACCTCTGTAACAAACATTCCAGAATATTTGCCATGACATCTGGCCTTCAAAATATAAGGTTGGGCCTGTTTGCTGCAGCTCTTTGGCTGTGATAAAATGTAACATAATAATAATAAATGAAGTTGCAAATGGCCTCTTGACCATATGAAACAGCTCTTATTTATATTAACTCAAACTTGTTCATATACTGATAATGTTTAACCTATGCTTGAAACACTCCAGTGATCCTCTGTTATGTTACCCAGTAACTTGTTCTATAAATCTACAATTCTATTTGCATACCAGTATTTACCTGGGATGAATCTAAACATGTATAATTTATATCATACAAACTTGATATCCACATACAAACTTGATATCATCCAATGTAGTAAATTTAAATCCATCAGGAATATGGTACAGTGGTACCTTCGTTTACGATCGTAATCCGTTCCCAGAGACGCATCGTCAACCAAAACAAATTTTCCCATAAGAAATAATGCAAATTGAATAAGTCCGTTCCACACCCTCAAAAATATTAACTTAAAAATACATTTTATACCGAATAACACTTATTTTGTACTAGCTACAATAAAGTATGTACTGTATATCTTACCTTGAATGAAGACTCTTGTTGGCGTTTGGAAGATGATGAGGAGGAAGGGAGGAGAGGTGTTAGTGTTTGGAAGGGGAGTCCCCTTCCATTATAACATCAGGCAGTTATGACTTTTCTGGGGTACACTCTCTCTCCTACATTTTGCCTGCATTCCACTAGGACCTGCTTGTGGCTCACTGCTTGTTTTTCTCGCTAAAAACCTGTTTAGCGACACTTGTTTTTCCCTACGTTGTTACACTTGTCTGAAGTGAGACATCACATTTTCATTAAAAAGGTTAGCACAATAGCCTGCTACAGCATGATTTGGGTGAGCCTTGTCAACAAAAGTTTGCATTTCTTCCCATATTGTACACCATATGAAGGGAAATCCTCTACTGCCTCCTGCTTCCCCTGAAGATTTGTTGTACTGCCTAGCTATATCAACAACCCGCATACCATTTTCATGTTTACGAATGATCTCTTTGTTTTTCCTCTATCGTCATCCTCACAACTATTTTCTTAAGTTGAACTTTACCACTAACTTTCTTGGGACCCATGGCATGACATATAATAAGAACTTTGCCTCTAAATATGTTAGAGGCCTAAGTATGAACAATAAGTACTGTATGTTAAAAAAACAAAAAAGCAGGCAATGAAATTCTTCACAAAGAATTCAAGCGCGGATAGACTTGTAAACAAACTGAGTGCACCTCGCCCTGCGTCCCCAGCACCACGCGCTCATTCAACCTATAGGCATAAGAACAGACGTCGTCATCCAAGTAAACAGTTGTACAATAATTCAAATTTTACGATGAATTTGACGTCGTATACCAAAAAATTTGTACTCTAGGGCAGTCGTCAACCGAGGTTCCATTGCACTGCAATTAGTTCCCATTCAAGATTTTCAATCACTATTAAGAGTGGTACTGCATAATGATTAATGATAAATAAGAAAGGAGCATTATTTTAATAGAAATGTAATAACAAAATAAAAAATACAATAAAAAGAAAACAATATAAATCAGCAAAAAATAAAAAATCCCTAGAGAGGAAAGATGTTTTTAATTTAATAATACTGTAATTCATTGTGTTGGGGGACAGGAAGCCAGAGTGTATTCATACACATTAGGCTTATATCGAGGTCAACCCCCCCCCTCCCCAGGGTCGAATTGCTTATCCCACCCAGGATACAACCCCACAACAAGCTGACTAACTCCTGAGTACCTACTTACTGCTAGGTGAACAGAGGCATTAGGTGAAAGGAAATGTGCCCAACCATTTCAGTCCTGTCCAGGATTCGAACCCGGAATTGTCGATTGTGCATCAAGAATGAATCCAACTGTACTACCAGGGCCCAGGAAATAGAATACATTTACCTTTTTCTTCCCATTTTTATTTGCTACATCTACTGAGCAAAATTTTAATTTTACTTCCACATATGATGGATATTCACCAGGGAAAACTGGGCTATACTAGTTTTAGTTTCATTCTAAGGGTTAGTCAATATACCGTATTGATTCAAAGCATAGTTCCAAATCCCTCCCAAGTCCTCCCATTTGTCTTGACCTTCCCTCTGCCTCTCCAGGGGTGTATTGGGATGAAAGTGACGAGGAATTACCAAGCATCCCATGTTTACACAGACAGTGCTATCACCTGCTAGAGGGTACAAGTAGCAATCACATAGTCAACAACAAGTTGGAAGTCGGCAGAAGAAGAGCAGTATAATTCTCGTTATCGGGGGCAGGAAGCCTCTGTTTAGGCTTATTGAGATCCACTAGGTCAACTAATGACCTTTCCCAAATGCAACCCACAACAGTTGTATAATTCCCGAATGCCTATTTACTGTCAGGTGAACAGGTGAAAGGAAACATACCCAACCATTTCTTGTCCTGCCTGATGATTGAGCTCTGGTCCCTCAGTTGTAAACCAAGAATGCAAACCACTGGTGGTTGTTACTTTGAAATCCAAATATTGCTTGCAGGAGGTTAATTATATGTAGGTAAATGTACCATCAGAGGTCATTTAGGGGATGGCTGAGAACTCTTACATGCATTGTGAAGACATTCTAAAATGATCTCTGCTGTGTTGGGAGGATGAGAAGGTCACACTAACCCTGGTTGAAATGTGCCATGTCTCTGGGAAAGCTTACATTTACATCATTTACCTGATAAAGGGATGAGTGCCATGATCACAAAGAAACTTTTCATTTATTCTCAAAGCCTCCAATGGTCCTTGTCAAAGCAATACCTTGAGACTTTTTTATATCAAATAAATTGAGTTGTGTTATGTATTATGTCAATAAACCTTAACAGTTATAGAAAAGTACAGTGTCACCTTTATTTATGTTGTAATGTGTCTAATCTTAACATCTAACAATTTGGTTTAACATGAGGTAATACCCAACATAAAACTTTCACTCTTCTAAAACACATGTTATAGAGTATTTGGATGACTAACTAGTTCCTCAAGTGCAAAAGATGATGGCACTTACCTTGCAGAGGCTCCACAATGTCCATAAAATCATCAAGATTTGGCTGCAACTGGATGAGCCCCGGCTGAATGAAATCAGAATTTCCAGTACCACGAGCTGCAACAGACAGTGCCTTCATTTTATATAAGAATTGTATTTTCAATTTGTCAACAAAATGAACATGCAACTCCGTACTGTAATATTAGGAAAAATAACTTGCATCAGACATTGCTATACACATAGTGAAATCACAAGAACGCCATATATTAATGAAAAAGTGTAAGACGTAGCCCGAATGGTCCCCAAGCCGCAAATCACTATAAACTTTTTGGGCCCACTAGGATTCAAACTTGGACAGTCAGGGATCACCCCAATAGCTACTCACTAAAGTCACTCTACCATTGATTGCCTATAAGTGGTGGATGATCCTGAAACTCTCTTGCTTCCACATGAGTTCCATGACTATCAGCCACCCAGCAACACTCGTGGTGCATCTTGGGTTACAGTTTTTCATCAAATCCTAGCCCATGCTGGAACCGTACCGAGCCTACAAATGTGAGACAAAGCTTGAATGGTCCCCAAGCCATCCACCACTTACAGCAATCAATAGTGAGTGGTATTAGTACTGGGTGGCCAGAGTGGTGACCCCCTGGCCATCCAGGTTCAAATACTGATGGGCCCAAAGAGTTTATAGTGACCAATGAAAAAAATATTGAGGCGGCAAAATGGGATCGAACCTGTACCTCGATACAATTATTTACTGCATAATGTTGCTCAGATTTATTGAGAAGAACAAGTTACTCTTGATTACCAATTCTTTCAAAAAGCAGGTACTGATAGTTATCCAGTGATCAGGTTAACAACTGTATAATGCTTAACATGGTGCTCTTTCTAGGCCCTTTCTGGCACTGTAATTGAGATGATAATATGGTGCTATTCCTAGGCATTTCAACTCTCATCAAGAACAGAAACCTTCTGAAGGAGAACTTGTACCTTTGGCCTCCACTACCTTTTCACTTGACCTTTCACTTGACCTACCTTGAACAATTGACATGTTCCAACCATCTATCAATCTTTGCAAAAGAAAACTTTCTGATATTTTTTCAGCACCTTTGTCTCCTTAGCTTGAATCTGTGACCTCTTGTTCTTGAAGTTGCTAATTTCAGAAATTCCTCTTTGTCAATTTGATTGATTCCTGTTATTTTGTAAGTGGTGATCAAATCGCCTCTTTTTCTTCTATTTTCTAGCTTCGGCATATTTAACGCCTGTAGCCTATCTTCGTAACTGTGTGTGTGTGTGTGTGTGCGTATTGAGAATTGTCTAACTAGCTTCACAAGACTGTCACTTTCTCAGCTAAATGAATTATTAGGTTCAGTTCCTGAACCCATTATGAGCCTCCGTAATCCTTTCCACCATCGCCCACAGGATGGGTATGGGACGCATAATAAATGACTAAACTAAACAGTAAAACTACATATAGTATAGTTAAGATAACGTATAAGTTGCCCCAAAAATATTTGGCCGTCTGAAAATCAAAGTTTTGAACAAATCTGATTGGTCCATATTACATTTTGTAGCCCCTTAGCCTAAACTACAACTGATTCATATATCAGGCTGCAATATGTCATAGTAGCAGGAAGTTCAATATTTTCAACAAGACACCAAGACACATGCAATACCAATATCCCTGAGCTCCTCAGCCACATATATTATTGACTTGATCATATTCTTATGATTTCATAGTGCAATAAGCCATATTTTTCATCAATTTACTTCAAAAGACCAAAGCTTTTTGTAGTGAAGTGGTATTTTTTAATGCTTGAAGCAAAATTTAAGTGAACCTACCAATTTCTCGAGGGTTTGGGAAGGCAAAAGGCTGAGGTGGGCTAATAAGCGATGAAAAGAGAACATCGGTGAAATCCATGAACTCCGTCAGATCTCCATCCTCCAACGATACTGGCATTCCATAGTTTCGTGAAAAGTCCATACCTTCCAGGTCAAAGATTGACTGAAAGCAATAAAATTTAGACTTATTTTCATGTAACTTTTATAATTCAGTATATATAAAGTAGTAAGTAAATAAATCCAATACTTCTAAATTGGAACATTTTCATTAAAAATAAAGCATTAATGAATTTTTTAAAATATAAAATAACACATACTGTATTGTGTATCATTTACTGCTTTAGTGCAGGATGTCACACAAAATGTTGTCAAAACACCTTGATCCTATCACATGCTATTTCTTACACGTCTTTTATTGTGACCTAACACCATATTAATTTTTCCCATATAACTTCTCATACATGCTTCCATTGACCTTTTTCATATACAGAAAACCTTGTTTTCATACAAAAATATGTTTCTTGGGAAACCATCTTATAGAAAATAAAACTCTTTAAATTCTAGCTCATTGAATCTAATCCTCCTATTGACAGTTCTTATCTCAAAAATCTATTTTAGTGCTTTTATTCTACAATGGAATTCTCTCTTTCAGATGTTTTTGAAGGCTTTTAACCATCATTACAAAATCACAGTGCATGTCAAATAATCATACCATATTCAGATAGACCAGGTGTTATAGCTAAAGGGGAAGGGGACTATCAGGAGAAAGTGCCAAGCCATTATAGCTATAAAGCACTTGGAAGGGATCAGGATAATGATTTGGGATGGGACGGGGGGAAGGAATGGTGCCTAACCACATGGACAGTTGGGGACTGAATGCTAACCTGCATGAAGCGAGACCATTTCCCTACTGTCCAGCCCAACTGGATATTTATCAATTTCATATCAAGGAAAATAAATACAATTAGTTGGGTGTATAATAGCTGAAGATAATTTTTTTTTTTTAATGTGGAGAGGATTGGAATGTCCATTTATGAGGAGAGCCTCAGTTGTTCCCTGAGCTATAGCCATGAGTTCACACAAGTCACTACTAGTATGCCAGGAATTGTGTGACTTTGAATTCTAATGAGAATTCGGCATGGAACTCCATGTGCAGTGACTAAGATTCAAAAAAAAAAAAGAAAGCCAATTGAATCATCCTCAGCAGAGCTGAGTGATTTGCATAGTGGATGCCTGGCACAAAGTGAGCGTTGCCACATTCCAACGACCTTGTTCTACCAGCTACTACTGTCACCTAATGGCAGCTGATATAGGGGTAATTGCTAGTTATGTAGTTATAGACAAATAACTGGCTATCTTAGCAGCTCCAATGATTATTCAGAGACACTGAGTGAGTTGATATTCTTAATTGGCATACCAATCAGTTTCTCTCCATGGTGGCTCAAGATACAGTATGCTCACCACTATGCTCCTCATCCTTGAACTACAGGACACAACCATTAGAAAACTTTATTTGTCTTTCTGTGGCTCAGAGTTACACAGGGCCTGGCATGCTAGTAGTGACCTAGGAAGACTCATAACAGCAACCATGGGGGCCTTGGTCAGAGAAGTGTGTTCATCTTAAATATTAAAACTTCAGGATAAACTCCAGGCAAGAAACATTTGTTATAACACACTATTCTCTATGCCTCACACACACATAACAACAGTAACAAATGTACAGTATATAACACACATGCTATCTATATGCTAATGTTAATAAAATACAAAATATAATGCAAAAACATCATAATGCAGAAAGATACCCTTTAATCATGCACTGTAATATCAAAATCCTATAAACAGTCCAAAATTTATGTCAGGCATTATTCATGAATCCCTCTAAATAACTTAAGATGCTTCAATATTATCAGAAAACATGTTTTAGCAAAAGCCGAGCACTTTTTCCAACCCAACTCCAGGGAACAATTAGAAATTCCTCAACTGTTGCTTTAAAGTGGTAATCTGCCACAGCAAGACAGAGTCTGGTTCAATTGTTTACAAGATTCCCCAGCCATCCGAGAATTTTGCTGTATTCTTAGGAACAACCTCCAGTATCCCCATTGTAGCAAACTGACCTGCTAAATGAACTCACCCCATTATCCCCTGCATTACAGCGATAGGCATGGCCCGTGGGTACTATGTGGTCAACCCACAATGCCAAGTCAGCAGTATTCTCATGCCCAGTGTAGAGTCAAGATACATAATGTGGATTATTTCACCTGTTTATCAAGAAAAATATCCTTACTTTTTATGGCTGATATGATAAGGAGAGTTAGTGGTGCACCAATGCTAAGGAGCAGGTAACCCATTATACTAGAATGAAGGTGGAGATAATCAAGTGATCCAAGAAGGGAGACACACCAACACAGATAATACATGCTTGGTGTTAACTGCTCCACAAGTGCCTCTTTCTGGTGTATGTGCCTGTCTTAGCTCCTCCGGCCTCAGTCTCACTCTTAGTCGAGTCTCGTGTAGGACACCAGGATTGCTTTCATTTTCCTTCTTGAGAGTCTTGTAGTGGCTTGCTTTCATTTTCCTTTTTTGAGAGTCTTGTAATTGCTTGCTTTAATTTTTCTTCTTGAGAGTCTAGTTATGGCTTGCTTTCATTTTCCTCTTGGAAAGTCTTGCATCGTCATTGCTTCCCATCTTCTGTAGTCCTTGAGAAGCAATGTCTTTCATATTTGGTTCTAGAGTGAATTCTTGACCATCTAATTTTGCTTGTATTGTTTATCCTTCTGAGCCTGGTTTGATTGAAGGTATTGAACTGCTTCCTTTGGTTGGTGTTTCACTATTGGTTATGGGGCTATGTTATTTGGGCTTCTTGGACTTGGAAAATGTCCCACTTTGTAGGATTTCTCTACTGATTTTTTAATGTTCAGTTTCTTTCAGGTCTTCAGGTCACTTGCTTGAACTCTTCCCCAATATGGCTGGCATGGAGTTAAAAGTATGCATCAGACATCATCTCACTGCTATTGATTTTATGCGACAATAGTCAATGTCCCATATAAATATAGCTATAAGTTATATGGGACATGAGATTAATACACAATATATTATTAACTATAAACATCTAATATGGTGTTTCCATGCTGCTTAACTAGATACTGTAGTAAAGATACCTTAATTAACACAATCCTATCATTGTCAAGAGATAAATGAACACTGCTACCTATTGTCTATTCTCAATTCTCTCTATTCTCTCTCTCTCTCTCTTTCTCTCTCTCTCCCTCTCTATATACACACACACACACACACACACTTAAGAAGTTTTCTGTTTTACAGTAAACACATTTCATCACTTTTTACATGTTTATCAGACCCTATGGAACACATTAAACTACAGTATTATTAGCCAACATATTAAACTGACATTTCATATTTTTTCAACATTGATCCAACAAGCATGTGGGACTCGAATGCCTGTACTAAACAAAACACTACAAAAATGGGCATGTTCGAAAAACAATTAGAAGAGCTCCTGGAAGAAGTGCCAGACCAACCAGGCTGTAATGGACATATGAACCTGCAGGCCGTTCCCAGCAACAGCCTTCTAGATCAAGTTTTCACAACTCCTGCTAGAACTCCTGGCTAGAGCTCTCAAAACTCACTCCAGGTATAGTATTCTGGGATATCCCACACACAAGTAGCTAGAGAGAAAGCATGGGTAACTAAGAGGAACTTGTATTTCTTTTGTGATATATGAAAAAAAACTCCTTGTGTAGCATGTGATAATGATGCTCACACAAGGCATGGCAAGGAAAACAGTTTTAGTTGTTTATCTAATATACTATTGGTACTGCAGCCTAAACGGAAAGCCGACTCACAGAAGAATGATGAGTGCAGTTACTATTTCAGCACACATTTGTTTTTTTAAAGATCTACAGTAGATATGTATTTCTTCACATAATAATCTAATACACTTTAAAATCTTTATTTAATATAATTTTTATACCCAATTTTTTTTTGTCAGGAACTAAATTACCTAGAACTTAATAAGTACATCACAGTATATATATTAACAATATAGTATAAGACATTTGAATTGAACAATATTCAGTTATCAATATCCTTGTGCTATACATCATGCAGGTTCAAGTAGAGCCTTCTCCTTGCTCCTGGTACAGAACATAAAAACCCATGTATATGCAAGTTAAGAAGTCACCACAATGCTCTAAACTTTACCTCTATTTCCTATCATAAGGAACCTTACTTACAATATTTAAAACACTTGTCAGCTGCTAAATATTAATTCTCAGAAGCACATACTGTATTTTCTGCAGATAGGATGCATTGTAACAACATTAAAGAGTTTAAGCATAATGCTGTAACTCACAAAGAGAACATGTTAAAATCACTTTCAATATATGATGAAACATACAAAAATAGTTTTTTCCACAATATATCCTTGAAAAATAGTGGTTCGTTTTAAACAGAGGTGCATCTTATATGTCAACTAGTAAAGTAATTCCTAATTCTCTCCTCTTTCTTTATCAAATAGTTCTATCACAACTAAATATATTAACTAAAACATTTTCCTTAACCTATTTTGAGAACTCTGAAACAAAATTTAAAGTAAATAATTTTTATCTAAATTTTCCACAACATAAAACTATCCCAAGCCAAACTCATTACAGTTTAACAGAGGTACAGCGCACACTTTCATCCAATACTCAATATATCAATTTACTATGGAGTCACTCATTAGGGCAAGGTCGCTGGACCTTGACCACTGGTTTTTAGTCAATTATTCTAAGTTTTATCAGTTTGTGTGTGGAATATGAAATATCTTTTAACTTTTTAGAAAACCTATGTATAAATTGGATAAGAAGCAATTTATTTATATTAATGAAAATACAATTAAGTCTGAAGATGCAATACCTATTTAAATATTAGCCAAAATGTTTGTTACCAAATGTGAACAACAGTGAGAGATCAACAACTTTGGTGTTGAAGGTTGGCCAATTACACTAGTTGTGTATCTCATTTTTTTTAGGAGTTTCACAACTACTGTATAAATATATACAGTACTGTATATCACTTTTTAGAATCAATCTTTGAGGTCCTTGGGGCTATTACCTATTGTCAGGACACCTGCTGAAACTGATTTTCTATAGATGAATATTTAAACACCTTTTAATATTTCCTACTTACAGTTCACGAACATAATATTGCACATAAATTGTTAATGTCAAATAACAATGATCAGGAACTATTCACGGTTGAATAGTTCTGCGTTCAAGGTTGCCAAATGTACACACATCAGGTCGTGCCTTAATCGCTATACAGTGTTCCAATAGCAACCGACAATTTTCTTCAGTGCTTTAATTGTCAGATGTTATTTTTTCCCATTATATTCAACTATTTTAAGTCATGTGCACCCCAATGTAGTACTTTTAAATAGCTGTGCAGTTCAGGGATTAATTCCTTGATAATTAGCACCATAAAAAAAATCTTGGACTGACAGTTTCATTTGAAATAATTGGCTGAAAGTTTTTAACCCTACAGTAATTTTTTAATATGTTCCAGATTTGCACATGTAAAACTAATATATTTGTAGTTTCCGATCTTTTTGTTGTTTAGTTTCATGCCAAACTTTACGCGACAGAACCTTGTTTAGCTGTGGATTGTCACTGCACAGTACAGGACAACACCTACTAACTTTACCCCACCAATGTGTTCACACAATAGAATCATGGTGTGACGAGAAGGTTCTGTATCAGCCACACTGCTAGATATGAAAAAAGACAAATTAAATTTATATGCATGACATACATGCCTGAGAAGAATAAATATTAAAAATGCAAACTGACAGCAGAGAAATGGAAATACGAATCCATTGAGTCTTCGGTACATTACAATACACAGCATTTTTAGCTAAGATTTGCAGGTTGAAATTATGCATTTTGATTCCAAAAATAAAGATTCATCAACTGTTCATATAAAACAGCTGCCACTTAAAGCAAAATTGTTGCCGTAACAAAAAAAAAAAGTATTATCTGACAAAAAGGTAATAAAGCAAAATTCTGAAAATTAAAAACTTAATGCATTCACAAATACAAACACGTTATATATACATTTAAAAAAAGACACAAACTATAAAATACAGTATAATGATTCAATTCAAGGCTTAGATGAAAATTACAAATTAGATTCCTTATATTTCCTGTATTCAAACACAATAAACTGCCCATGCACATAGTTTCTAAACATGAATGAATGAATGAATACGCCATAAGGAGGTAAAGATGTGTGTCATGAGGTCTGGTACAGCAAAATAGTGACTGGAAGGCTTGGCCAGAATGCATTGGAGTACGGTGTAGAAGGGTTGGGTAAAACTGGATAGTATGACAGAATTGAAAAGTGCTGAAAAGAATGAAGGCTTGAAATGTCAAACTTTTGTAGCTGATGTTATATGGCAATAACGCCTTGGAGTTGAAGAGGAGGGGGTGGGATAGGGTAACACGGGGTTGGGGCAGGAGGCATAATGAATGGCTAGCAAAACAATAGGATGTGTCTGGTATGCTTGCGTGTGTGGCATTAACTATTTGTAATTACAGGAAGAGAACTATGCTTGTGATGCCCTACTTTTATTTAAATTTTTGCAATATTTTGTATACATGCATGTATGTATCTGCAGGTATGCGTGCATTGTATTCTGATGAGCATCTAAGCCCTAGGTAAAAAAGAAAAGCAAAAATTTAAAACATGTAAAAATTGGATGTCAAAGTTTCTTGCACCCAATGAAAGCAGATGTGAGTATTCAACCCATTCTCTCGCCTAATACGTCGCAGTTTTTACGAAATCGACCAATCCGTTAAAAATGCGATGTACTCTTACAAATTATAGCATCGTAATATAGTACTGACATTTTCATTGCATCAGCTGCAATAGGTTAGGTGGGATGCTTGGGTATATATATTTCTGGTTAGACTAAACAGATGCATTTTTGATGCAGTGGCAAATTGAGAGAATAGGCTGGAGTATTACAGGTAACAAGTTAAGAAGGTTGAGGACCTAGCAAATGTCCACTCCAAATCTTTTACCTTTATCTGTTTTTCATTTAATGATTTAGATTTTTCCTTCGACTTGCACCTTGACTGGAAACAACAGAAACCATTGTTATAAAAACAGGAGACTCCCAGAGACCAAGTTCTAAGTACTGTACTACATGATATTATACAAAAAAGTTACAGGTTAGCACCATTTAGACTACAGTATCTAATATTACAGTACTATTATGAAGCATTTAAGTTTGGTTGATAATACTAAATAAATCTGAAAAACATAGGAGAACATACGTATGTGATGTAATATGCAAGTGAGTAAAAGTTCTCAACTTGAGTTGCTTGCAAGGTTGACCATTTGCTCCGAGGCCCACCTTTTAATTTTAATGAAATGGCTCGGTTGCAATGTTTCTCGCATCATATTTAGATCTAATGTTGTATATTGAGTTACCTTCATTCCCATTTTTTTGTAAACTATACCATTTATTCCATGAGATAGAGGGTTATGTCTGGGCCCAGATCTTTCTCATTTTATGATGCAGGGATGTTTTCCTTTCATTCTACATTCATATATGGATCTTCTAACTCCTGCTCCTACCCCTAACAATTTGCATTTGGTTAGTTTAAAAGCTAGTACAGTATCTATTTTCCAGACTACCTCTGGAGTGTAATTACCTATATGTAGTTACTGGATGAGAATTATGCTCATGGTGTCCCATCTTCCAAGCACTCATATAATGCTTTGCAGCCTAGGTGAATGGCATGTTGAATGTTGTAATTCTTTTGTTCTGGTTCTTTGACTTAATGATGTCTCTATAGTTAACAAAAGATTGAGGTGTTCAACCTGTCTGTCGTACATAACATCATACCTGTATTGTTAAGAATCATCTGGTTTACAATGTGATGTATTAGTAAAAATTAAAGCACTAATATATTGGCAATTTTTATGCATTGGACTTAGGTTAGGAGGGTTGCTTGGGTTCGTGTTTCCGGTTATGCATCACAGATGCTTTTTTATATGGAAGGGTAAATAGAGAGAATGGGCTAGAGACACACTGACATCCATTCACATTCAACTCGATTATTATATTTAAATTCTTTGTTTCATGTTATTGTACAGATCAGAGATACTGGTATATATAACAGGAATCTATCATTCATAATCTATGCAGGAAAATTATATAAATCAAACATCGTTAGGAAATAATAACTATTTAAATTTAGAAATAATAACTACTGTATCTTGAGATTTCTACAACATATTTATGTTAATCAAGCCCTAGGTAATATTTGTTAAAATTATTGCATTATTTATTATTACTGTACGTATATGTTTTTTGGTTACTTTCCAGGTTGCAGATAAGTTCATTTTTAACAAATATACAAAGTACACACTACAGTACTAATATTCAAAGCAGCCTGGAATAATAAATGCTGGAGCCATGTACAAATGGGATATACAATATAAGCAACATATTATTTTTATAACAATAGGGGGGGACCTTCGAGAGCCTGCTGGCTTCCAGTCTCTGTCGAGGCCACTAGAGCTGGTGATCCTTGGGTAAATTCTGGTAAATTATGTACTTTAACTCAATAATCCTTGTTTAACATTTCCTTAAGCATTATCTACATGAAGAAAAGTTCTAAGAATGTAAGCAAATAACCCAACGCACACATGTGAACACAATGTTAAAGTCCATATTGGACCCTTGTTAAATAAAGTTCTACAATGCAATATAATTTAACATTTCAACACATTCACAATAAGCATTAATTAAAAACCAAAAATTATATACTGTATATACAGTACTGTCCATTCAGCCTCGTGGTTGAATGAACAGTGCTCTGGGGTCGTAGTCTTAATGGGCCCTGGGTTTGATCCCCGGCTGAGGCAGGAACAAAATGGGCAGTGTTTCTTTCACCCTGGTGTACCTGTTCACCTAGCAGTAAATATGTACCTAGGAGTTAAGACAGCTGCTATGGGCTGCTTCCTGGGGATGTGTGTGTGTAATTACCTAAGTGTAGTTACAGGATGAGAGCTACGCTCGTGGTGTCCCGTCTTCCCAGCACTCTTTGTCATATAACATAACATATAACATATAACGTGTGAGGGTGTGCATGTGTAAGAGAAATATAGCAGTAGACATAGTAGAGGAAAATAAATTGGTTAGAAAGGCGGGGTCCAAGAGCTAATAGCGCAATAATGCAGATACAAATAGTAAATACACACACACACATACTGTATATATATTAAATGATGTTTTAGGTTCACTGGAACTCTTGCAGCCTGATATAATACTTAATGAAAAGATTATGTATCTGATGCAACTCCATTATACTGTACTCTCTTCTATATTGTTTAACAGAACAAAATGAACACAAAGTAACAAGTATCATCCTGAACATAGATATAAATTTACTTTTTATAAGACTATAATATGCAACTGTAATAGTAATGCCACGAGTACAGTACTGTCCTCTATATGAAATTCTTGTTTCCTTTAGAATATGGAGTTTTTATAAAACGTTATATATAGCTACACCTTCAAAATTGAATATAAAATCTTTGAAATGGTTGCTGAAATCTTTAAAATCTTTGCTGAAATGGTTGCCAAAATAGTTTGAGCTATGCCCAGTAGAACACTAAGTTGAGGCTCTCAGTATTGAAGAGCCAAGTATGTGAAAAACCGAGTATGAGACTAAACTTCACACTACCAATAAGAGTACAGTGAAGATAGCAAACTAATTTACAAAAATCTATGCAAGTAGTAAACATGCTCTAGGTGCAAGTGAAAATTAATACAGTACAGTACAATGGAAGTTGAGCAAATTAGGTAATTGATACAGGCATAGATGAGTAGAGCTTTAGGTGTAGTAGGTAGTAGGTGGATGGTAATATTGTGCTGTACAAGGATAGGTGAGCAAATTAGATAACCGATACAGGTATAAACAAGTAGAGCTCTAAGTGTAGGTAATACTGTACTAGAGAAGTATCTGATAATGAAGATCGAGTCAGGAGGTTTACACGAATGCAGTTAATGTGTTTACTGTAAATACAGTAGATAAGGGAAAATTATATTGTATTATCATCACACTTTAAACTGCAATAAACACCCTTTTGAGAATTTTTTTAGACTAAACATTAAAAATAATGCAATGAATTTATTTATTTCATACAAATAACAAACTGTTGAAATAACAAAGAAAAATTATATGAATTATAAATCAGGAGGAGTTGCATTTGCAAGTTTAATTACAAGGTATACTTTGTTTTGCCATACTTTGTTGAATCAATGTTAACAACATTGATTCAATATTGATTAAACATTATTCGAACATATTTTGCCCACTGAAAGGACAATATTGCTGAGGACCTAAAGATGCACTGAACTGTATAATCAAAATTTTTTTTGAAACAGACACCAAACAGCTGTTTCAGAAGAGTAACTAAAGATTAATCATTACCCTAGTCTTAAGGAACAAATTATCAATAATTGATAATTGAGTGTATATTGAACACCACTGTTCAATATACAGTAATACACTCTGGATCGCCAAATTATCACAAGTGTGGTTTAGTCATGTATATGAATGAGTTTGGGTGGATACAAATAAGAACTGCCTAATATGGGCCAATAGGCCTTCTGCTCTTTCCTATATTCATATTCCATTCACCTGGGCTCTAGGAGATTAGAACTGCGAACCCGACGCATGTGAGGCCGAAGGTCTATCGACCGAGATATTAAGTAATCTTAATAAGTAAAGATTCCAGAAGCAATATCCTGTTGCCAAACTTGAATTTTTTATTTTCCCTGACTATTACTGAAGCTCAGAGGAATTAGTGAGCCATGCCCACGTCATAAATTAACATCCCATAAATATAAATTTATATGATGTGGATGTGGATCACTAATTCCTCTGAGCTTTAGTAATAGTTAGGGAAAGTCGAAAATTCCAGTTTGGTAACAGGATGTTGCTTTTGGAATCTTTTCTTCTTGGACTACTCAATAGCTCAGTCAATAGAGTTCGGCCTCACACGAGTGAGGGTCGACGGTACGAGTCTCCTAGAGCCCAGGTGAATGGAATGTTTATGTCCACGGAAGTGTGAATGACAATCTATATTCAAATGTTCTTATGTTTACAAATTCACAAATAACTGGTATGTATTAGTGTCAGGACGCCACATACATGGATCTCACTCACCGAATCATTGTCAAGAAGGCTGCTCCCACACATCTTGTTCTTGTAATAGATTCTCCACTTCTTGTACTCTGCTGTCACCGCATCCAGTTGACGTTTCCAGTACTTCCCTTCTAGCACGATGGCCTGTAAAATGATTTCTCATTAACTCTAAATTCTTTCACCATATTTATTAAAATCTCATTAATGTAAAATACATATACAGTATTCTGTATATGTACAGTATATGAGGAGTTAGCAGAACTATTTTTAAAATCACATTATATAATACAGAAAGGTCGTAGGATTTAACTGTAGCCATTATAGAGGAGCACAGGGAATACAATGATTGCACAATAATGTAATGCGTAAAAAGAGCTCTAATGGGAACAAGGACCTGTAATTAGTACATGGAATATAATATATAATGAGTACAGGAATATAATCAATTCTAAGAATATTATCATTACTGTATATACACTGAGCAATGATTAAGGGAAATATTTGTACTCTTAATAACCAGCATTGAGGGTACAAATAGAACAATAACTACAGAATTCCAACGATTAAAGACAGTATGAGTGCAGAAGTATAATGGATAAAGTACAGTGAGTACATTAAATGGATTGTGTATTATGTATAAAAGAGTATAATGAATAGAGTATAATATGTACAGGGAGTACATTTCTCAGAGTATACTTTACTGAATGAAGAGTACAGTATAACATGATCTCTTTTGATCACAACCAATCAAGAGCGGTGTCCCCAAATTATAAACATTTCAGAATGTGAAAAAGGCATTGCATCGAGTACAGTGGGTGCAAGGATTATACTCCTACAGTGAGTACAGAGGGTGCAAGGATTATACTCCTACAGTGAGTACAGAGTACTGCAATTTTCTCTGCATTACAATGAGTGCAGGGCTTGAGTGCAACACCATGATTACATGGTGTTGCAATAATTACAAAGTGGCAATTATTAGTGCTGCAATGAGTACAAAATGGTGCATTTGCTGCCGTGCAATGCAATGAGTACATAGTGCTGCACTGATTGCAGTGTTGTAATATCAACAGAGTGCTGCAATAATTACAGTGTTGTGGAATGAAAACAAGATGCTATAATGAGTTCAGGAAATATAATGAGTATATGCATGGGTGACTCCATGGAATATTCCTTCCTTTAGAATTCACAACATTTACTCCATCTATTATCATTCTATTATGCATGAAGAACCGCACATCTATAGGTCATCCAATAAGGTTTGGAAACTTCAAGAAGTTACCACTGTTATTTTGAGGTTATCTTGAGATGATTTCAGGGCTTAGCTTTCCCGCGGCCCGGTCCTCGACCAGGCCTCCTTTTTGTTACACATTCCCAGGAAGCAGCCCGTAGCAGCTAACTCCCAGGCACCTATTTACTGCTAGGTGAACAGATGCATCAGGGTGAAAGAAACTGCCCATTTGTTTCTGCCTTCGTTAGGGATCAAACCCGGAACCTTAGGACTACGAATACCGTCAGGCTGCTAGGCTTAGACTCGGCTACAAATACCTTTGGGAGTTTGAAACCTCTGCTGATGTAGATTTGACTAAATGTAAACTCTGTCAGCAGAACTATTCGCATACTTTGTGTCATTATATAATGGAATGTGAAAAAATTGCGGAATTCAGAAATAACACCATCAATGGAGTCCAAGAAATGTGTAAGCACTTCATTCAAAATGTTGTGCTGCCGGGAATCTTAGCGAAGTATTCAACATTGCTTACTGTAGGTGCAGCCTGTACATGACTAAAAGCTGCCGCCCAGTTGGATGGGTGTGAAGTAAGACTAGTAACTGTGTGATTTACCATAGATGTAAGGTGCCTACATATATGTAGGCACCACACACATACATATACATATATATATATATATATATATATATATATATATATATATATATATATATATATATATATATATATATATATATATATGACAATGTCAGACCACGGAGGAAAAATGAAACAGGAAATTTCCTTAAGTACTTTCGTATATTAAATACATCTTCAGAAGGTCATTTTACAGATCGAGTGATGGGTATAAATAGGCAGGAGAGAGTGGTGAAGTAAGGTGAGGTACAATACTTGGACAACGCAGAAGGCCCATTGGCCCATCAGATGCACCCAATTAGCCCATCCGATGTAGCCCAATGGCCCATCTGATACAGCAGACATACAAGCATAATACATAGGTAATTATAACATAAAGAGGTAAATATATACAATAAATTAGTGAGACAAATGTTTTTCAATGATTCTACTTAAATCGCCCTTTAGCTGATCTATTAGAAATGGATCTAAGTTATATAGACCACTGCTAATATTCAAATTACTTTCTTTGGTGATCTGTATATATATATATATATATATATATATATATATATATATATATATATATATATATATATGTGTGTGTGTGTGTGTATGTATCATTAACAATTGTGTAACTAGCCTCAAAAGATTGTCACTTGCTTAGTTAAATGAACTCTGGGGTTCAGTTCCTGAACCCATTATGTGCCTCTGTAAACCTTTCCACCACCGCCCACGGGACGGGTATGGGGTGCATAATAACGAAAGAAGCTGAACTGGGAGTGGAGGCGGCGGAGCACCTGGGAGGCGGGGGCGCCACACCCCCGCCACCCGCGCCTACCAACCAATAGGAAGCAGCCCTGCCTCCCCCGCCTAGTTCCTCCGGCGTATGGCGGCCCCCGCCGACACACACCCACATGTGTCCCATCACACACCTCCTTGAGGTTACCTTGAGGTGCTTCCGGGGCTTAGCGTCCCCGCGGCCCGGTCGTCGACCAGGCCTCCTGGGTCGAATGGATACACCTCCCCATTGTTCCACTTCTCATCCTCAGCCGGGATTCGTCAAGCACTTCCTACGGGCTACTTGGAACTGTTTGTTCCAAGTAGCGAATCTTTAACAACAACAACAACAACGTCAAGCACTTAACACCCCACTTCCGAAACCTATACATCTGTGAACAAATCAGTGTCCTGTATATGTAGTCCTGTACATCTGTACAAAGATGTACAGTGTTCTGTACATCTTTCCTCATCACAGAGGCTTAGTTTGTATAAATTAAACAGACTTTGACCTCCATAACGACTTAGCCACCACGATTGGGGAAAGATATACAGGCTCCGTTAGGGGACACGTAAATGCTTGTTGAATCTTTGGCTGGTTCACAAATTACCGGGTAACACAATAGTCGCGGGATTGATGGATTGTTTCAAGCGTAGTTTAGACATAAGGCATACATGTGAATGAGTTTGGGTGGATATAAATAGGAGCTGCCTTATATGGGGCAATTAGGCTTTCTGTAGCTTCTTATAATCTTACGTTCTATAGAATAACACATTTATAATGAACTAGTCACAAACTCTTTATTTGTCTTTAATTTGTTTATTGATTATTCACTGATCCAACTTATATTATTGTAACTAAGTTAAATGCTCATGAAAGACTATTGATATATGCACACATTAAACTAACTAAATTATCAAGACTAACCTGCTTACCTAAATGAATTTTGGCGGTTCATTTCCTGAGCCCATCATGTGTCAATATAACCTTTCCCACTACCGTCCATAGGATGGGTATGGGGTCTACTAGCACCCACAGAATGTTTGTGGGGGTCCACTAGCACCCACAGAATATGTGTGGGGTCTACTAGCACCCACAGAATAAGTGTGTGGGGTCCACTAGCACCCACAGCATGTGTGGGGTCCACTAGCACCCACAGAATAAGTGTGTGGGGTCCACTAGCACCCACAGAATAAGTGTGTGGGGTCCACTAGCACCCACAGAATGTGTGGGGTCCACTAGCACCCACAGAATAAGTGTGTGGGGTCCACTAGCACCCACAGAATGTGTGGGGTCCACTAGCACCCACAGAATAAGTGTGTGGGGTCCACTAGCACCCACAGAATGTGTGGGGTCCAATAGCACCCACAGAATAAGTGTGTGGGGTCCACTAGCACCCACAGAATAAGTGTGGGGTCCACTAGCACCCACAGAATGTGTGGGGTCCACTAGCACCCACAGAATAAGTGTGTGGGGTCCACTAGCACCCACAGAATGTGTGGGGTCCACTAGCACCCACAGAATAAGTGTGTGGGGTCCACTAGCACCCACAGTGTGGGCACTGTTCTACATTAAACAACCTAATGATGGGAAGCCGTAACCATTCTCGGTGTTTCACAGTTCACCGCTTCAAGTGAGCAGACAATAGACGGGAGAAGATTGCTCAACACCGGATGCCACACACACACACACACACACACACACACACACACACACACACACACACACACACACACACACACACACACACACACACTAATTTCCAAGACAGTGAGACTTCCCATACATACGCAGTGTTGGCGTGCAGAGCCACTATCAATTTGAAAGCTTCATATATTTACTCCAAATGAGTATGTGAGCACACCCATCGCTAGTGTGACCCTCAATGAATCAAACACACACACAGGGCACCCGCTACCCGCATAGTTACCCAAGACGAGATGTACCCAAAGTACCTTACCAATGCACAGAGGGGAAGGTCATATCGTACACAATACGAATCGCTAATTTTCTGCTTCTAAAACCGTACACATCGCTAGGTTAGGATGTTTCAGCTCAGGTTATCTTGAAATGATTTCGGGGCTTAGCGTCCCCGCGGCCCGGTCCTCGACCAGGCCTCCTTTTTGCAACACATCTCCCAGGAAGCAGTTCGTAGCAGCTGTCTAACTCCCAGGTACCTATTTACTGCTAGGTGAACAGGGGCATCAGGGTGAAAGAAACTCTGCCGATTTGTTTCCGCCTCCGCCGGGGATCGAACCCGGAACCTTAGGACTACGAATCCCAAGCACTGTCCACTCAGCCGTCAGGCGCCCTGGTTAGGTTAGTGCGTGCAGGCAGCCGTCAGGTTAGGTTGTATTTGGCTCCATTAATTTAGGTTAGAGTTGGTAAGGTTGGCTAAGTTTAAAAAATTCATTGAAGATTTGTGTACGGGAGCCGGTGGCTGACCGGACAGAATACTGGACGCGTGATCCTGTGGTCCTGGGTTCGATCCCGGGCGTCGGCGAGAAACAATGGTCAGA